AATGGTATAATTGATATTGTGCAATAGGAAGAAAATGGCTACAGGGGAAATGGGAAGGGGAGCGGAAAGGAAATAAGGGAGAAGAAAAAATGAAAACAATGGAAACAAAGCCTTTGTAGATAGGGAAGCGTAGAGGGGTGAAGGGAGGAGAGGGGTTTGGGTAAAAGTTAAGAACAAAGATACATCATGTAAAGGTACAAGATCCCAGTGACGAATGTAACTGTACTATACACCTGAAAGGTACCAATAAACTAAAGACCAAAAAGAATGTTATGAGAAGAAAGGAACCAAACTAAGACCTGGGAGGCCTGGAAAGAGAACCAGGACAGAACCTGACAGAACTCGGTTAATGAACCAGGAGCAGCCTTAGCCTGCATTCATCAGCCCATGTACAGGAAAGAGGCTGAGGACAAGTTGACCAGGGGGCTGCTTTGATTCAGGACCCACTTACAATCCACCCACGAGTTGGCACAGAAGCCAACAGAAAAATCCTGTCAGGAAGAGAAACCTCTTCATTTACATATGGCTTTTGAAGGTAGATGGCTTCTTCAATCTTTGGACCTGTTCCCTTGTTAATAAAATAACTTCATGTCTGAAAAAAATAAATAAAGGTACAAGATCCCAATGATGAATGCAACTGTATTGTTTACCTTAAATGTACCAATACTCTTACTGGGAAGAAAAAAAACATTTAAGAGAATTTCACTGATACAACTGATTTAGCAGCATGTGATATATTTGATATGTGTGTTTTTCATTTTTTTTCAGTTCTAAAAACTTTGTTGATTGAGACTTACACTTTGAATGATAGATTATTTAGAAGCGTGTTGTTTAATTTCCAAGTGTTAGAGAATCCCCAGTGTCTTGCACTGATTGCTGCTTAGATTCCTCTACTGACAGAGAAGATACTTTATATAATTCGGTTTACTGAAATGTGTTGGAATTCATTTCACACCTCTCAATATGGGCTTCCTTGGGCTCTTGAGAAAACAGTTGTGTGGATTGCATGTGTCTGTCTGTGTGTGAACCAGATCATTTTGGTTGCATGCGGCTCTCTACATACAACTCATAGGTAACTTGCTTCCGAGGGGAACATTTCCCCTGGTCTGAGTCTCAGCCTTTATCAGGGCTTAATGGCAGCCACACATCAAGATGCCAGTGGTGCAAGACTGGAAATTGAGGCCCAACTTGATGAGCCGCCTTGACTTCCGGACAGCCTTGAAGGCTTTGGAATGAGCTAGTTACATGGTCCCCTCCAAATTCAGCTCCTACACACAAGATCCGCTGGCCTAACGGCCCTCCTTATTGAGGGGACCCAGTTCAGGTCCTGCTCATCCCCTAGTAGTGGGGGCATACATTCCCTGTCAGCCATGGAATTATTCAATCAGCCAATCAGGATCTCCTGTGGGCCCCACAGATGTCCCACACTCTTGTCACTATGAAGTCTGCCTTCCCTCCCTTGAGATTGTTCACTCAGTTCCCCATGTACCCTCTATGTGGCCTCACATGGCTGATGGAGCCCCCTTACCTGAGTGGTGAGCATGAAGCTGTTGATCTCACCAGTGTAGCATGGACTGCTGTGTGTGAAGACGTCTATATTGCTCACTTTCCTATTGCTGGAACAAAATACCTAACACTCACAACTAAAAGGAGAGGTTTATTTGGCTCACGGTTTCAGAAGGTTTAGTCCATTGTTGGTTGGATGTTATGGCGAGTGCATGGCCCAGGGAAGTGAATCGACCCCTGACAGCCAGGAAGCAGAGTGAGAAAGCACCAGTACAAAAACTATGCTCACCAAAGGCACAAGCTCAGTAACTCACCTCCCAAAAGGTCCCATCTCCTAATAGAACTTTGAACTATGAACTCATGAGTGATGAGTATAATACTCCCATGATCCACTCACCTTCTGAAAGCCCCATTTGCGAACACATGAGGCTTGCGGGTGGTGTTTTAGATTGAAATCGTACCAGCATTCCTCACCAAAGGGGTGAAATGTAGGTCTTAACACATAGCTGATGAGGCTATTTCACGTGCTGCCATGTAATTCCCATGTATTCTTTGGTCTTTTATACTACAAAATATCCTTTTAATTGTGGTTAAAAGGTATAAATATACTATCTTACACATTTTAAGTTTGCTAAATAGTAACATTAAGAATGCACTCAGCCAGGGGTTTAGCCCAGTGGTTTCTCTGCCTGCCTTGCAAGCACAAGGTCCTAAGTTCGATCCCTGGTACCAAACAGCAACAACAAAAATGCACTCAGTGTGCAGTATCACCAGCAGCTGTCCACTGAACTCTTCATTTGTCACAACTGAAACTCTGCACCCGCTATGGCTCCCAGTTGCCCCTGACAACTTCCATTCTATTTGCTGTGCTACAGATGAAGTGGGGGCTAGTTGTTTTGGTTTGGTTGGTTGGTTGGTTGGTACTGGGTATTGAAACCAGGGATGCTGTACTACTGAGTTACATCCCCAAATGTTTTTATTTTTTATTTTGATACAGAATCTGACCAGGTTGGCCAGGCTGGCCTCAAACTTGAAATCTTCCCACTGCAGACTCTTGAGTAGCTAGATTTACAGGCAGGTACCACCATGCCTGGCTCCATTGTGGTTCCATCTAATAACTAACCATGGTGAGCAGCTTTTCATGTGCTCACTGGTGATCTGTTAGTACTTAAGAGACGTGTCTACTCCATTCTTTTGCCTATTTAATAATCTGGTTATGTGTTTTTCTGTTACTGCGTTTCACACTTAACACGTTTGAAAATTGGCTTTGTTATTTTTATTCTCATTAGGTTTTAAGAGTTCTATATCTAAAGTGGATATGAATCTTATATGAGCTAAGATTTGCAAGTATTTTCTTTAGTCCGGATTTTCTTTGCATTCTTTTCTCTGATTTTGATGGAAATGAGATTCACATTTCTGCAGTAGGAATGAGATTCACTGTGGGGTTCTGAGACACTTTGCTGTTGTGCTGGCTTCTCGTTTTATTTCTGCTTGACTAGGAGTTTTTTTTTTTAATATAAATCATGACATTGCTGAATTTTCTTGAATGCTTTTTTTTCAGTCTAGTGAAATGCTTATATGAGGTTTATGCTTTACATCGCAGTAGGTTAACAGGTATTCAGAGCAACTGTAGGTGTTGGACAAGAAAACCATTTTAGCCAAATGTATGTGGAGAAACATGGAGAACCCACCATGAGTTCTCATCCAGCTCCATCTTCTCAGGAGCAGGTTACCTTGACACCTCCACCCTGGATCAGAGGATGTGACTCTTCTTCCAGGCAACGCCAACCATCAGGAGGACTGGACTAAAGACACCAGACTCTACCACATTGAGGGACACTGCAGCACACATCTGAACTGTCATCCCCCAGAGGATCGAAGTCAACAAAACACGACAAGCCAAAGACACTCAAGAGCCCAGCATAGACTGAGGAGAGGTGATGCCCACGCTCAGTGCCTGAGACTCGGAGACAAAATAAAGACACAAGGGGGAAAGAGCGAGATCCACAGAAACCCTGGAGAGTCCTGTGTGTGGTCCGAACTGAAGTGTCAACATTGGTGCATTTCCCCATCGTAATCCCATCTTGGTACGCGGAAGGCCAGCATTAGGGAAAACTGAGAAGGAACATGAGAAATCTCCCCGTTATTGTGGCAAAATTGCCACCATTAGAAAGATAATCAAAATATGTGTATAAGCAATAAAAACACAATGCAAAAAATTTCACAGCTTCATCATAACGCACGGACGTCTTGTGAATGGTTAAAGCGTGTAACACAGATGTAACACAGATAAAAATGCAAACATTTTTTAACACGTTCAAAGATGCCATTGACATTTCCCAGGTCTTAGGATTTCCACATAGCTTTGGAGGGGCATAATTCAACCCTTAAATATGATTTGGTGGTAATTTTTTTTATTTTTTGGTACCAGGGATCAAACTCAGGAACTTGGGCTTGCAAGGCCGGCAGCAGAACCACTGAGCTAAATCCCTGGCCCTTGACAATCTGTAGTTCTGAGTGTACACTATGGACACTGACTGTCTAGGATCAGTTTCCTGCTCTGTATTATTTACTAGGTATGGCACAGTGAGCCAGTTAACTGAACATTTTGGGCTTCAAATTACCCAATTACAAAATAGAAGACAGATCATCTACCACAGATTAGAAAGACGCAACGAGTGCATATATACAGCAGTTGGGAAGGTGTCTGTCACAGCATTAAATAAATATAAGCCATGATGATTCAGCCTCATTGCCATAAACCAGGAGAAATTACCATAAGTGAGGATATAAGTAAACCAAGACAACCACACATTGGATGAAAAGGTGAGTGGGGTAGGGCCAATGAGCTGAGCCAGTGGGCGTGACCTGACATTCAGGACGCCTTCATTGGCAGAAAGACAGCTCCTGAGCCCTGCACCTGGGACCAATCAGAAAGTGTTGTCTTCACTTCTTCTGGCACAAAATCAAACTGGTTTTTGATTTCCAGACCTTCGCCCTGACCGCGGATCCACTGTAACTCCGTGCTGGGCGAACTTCTTTTCCCACCTTTAATAAATGTCTAACCCGGTTACCTTTCCATGTGTGCTGTCCAATGCTTCGCTCATGACATCAAAGATCTAGAGGGGCCTACAGAACCCCAGAATCCAGGGGCAGTGTTTCGGGGAAAATGGAAAGCATCATAAGCTGCCTTTGCATAGACTTTAAGGAGAAATTTTTAAAATAGCTTTATTTCCCTATTTATTTGTTCCAATACACACATCCCCCAGCTTGGCAATGCCTTATGTGGACAAGTGTTGTGTTTTTTGTTTGTTTGTTTGTTTGTTTGTTTTTGGCTCCTGAGCTCTGACCATGCCAAACCCTCCTATAATTGCTAGAATGTGAGGCCCTGCTGCACTTTCATCTTCCTGTACTGGTGTCCAGTTCCCTGTTTCTCTTCCTGAATAAGAGTAGATGCAGAGTAAGGAAAAGGAGGGGGACATAAAACCACGGTCCTCAGCGGTTCTGGGCTCTGAAGAACAGTGGTGGCCATGACTGTCCCCGAGGAAGCACGGGCACAGGAGCTGGACAGCCCGGGTGAGCTGAGCTGGGACTCGGGGACTTTGGGGAGGGGTCTGGGAGGTGTCTCGGATCTCAGCTCGACTTGACGCTCTGCTCATTCAGACGAGGAACTGCTGATAAGCAGTGGCCCCAGACACTTCATGGACAGGTTTGGAGACCGCCTGGCTTCTCTATGCAAAAGATTTGCAGGTAAAGCAGTGGCAGGAACTGAGGAGGGGACGCACAGCTCCTCCCAGGCATCGGAGTCTGGGAAAGATGGAGGCTGAGATTCTGGATCCCTGTGTCCTTGGGAGGGTGGACCCTAGGGTTCGGATATGAGGAAAGGGGGAGCTAGAGATGAGACGGTCCCTGTACAGGCTAAGCAGGGACACTGGTGCACTGGATTCCCATCCTTCCTCCTGCAGGCCATCTCCACCACCCCATCCCCCTGGCCCTGAAGCTGATCTTCTTCGTGGTCTTTGCTGGGATCTTGGTGGCCATCCTTGCCCAAGGTCAGGGCAGGGCTCGGGGTTGGGGATCCTTCAGCTGGGGAGGGCAGGTCTGGGAAAGAAGTGGGGCTCAAACTGGATCAGGTCCTTCAGAGGCTCCTTGGAGCTTCTCAGGGCCTCTCCCACATCTCCCGAGGAGGGAGGTGGAGAAGAGGGTCCTGGCTCCTTTTGCCCTTGGGGTTCAGCCTTCTCTGGGACTCAGCTTTCTTCTTTTTCACATAGAAGGGAGCAAGATGTCGCCTCGCTGAACCAACGTGTAGGATCTGGCAAACAATAGGCGATTAATAATTAATGTTTTACTTGGCACAGTCTCCAGGATCCCCAGCAGGAAGGAGCATGAGCAGAACCAGTTACTGCAGAAGAGGTCCTCCCAGGAACTGGCCCGGATGGTGGACATAATAAGTGAGTGACAGGAAAGAGGCTCTCCAGGGGCCCGAGAGGGCCTGGGTGTCCTGTCACTTTGCCTGAGTCTTCTGTCCTCTCTGAGCCCCAGTTTGCCCAGCTGTGAATTGGGGACATGGGGCAAGAGTCGGGATGGTGCTAGCTTTTCACAGGGGAACACGCACACAGTAGGACCTCAACTAAGTCAGTCTTCCGGCCTTTGTTCTGAGATCCAAAGTCCCTACTTCTCCCAGCCTGGAAGAGATAGGGCCAGGATTCCTGGGTTCTCTTGGGGCTGGGAAAGGAACTCAAAAAGTGGGGAGGGGAGTGACTTTCTCAGGGTACAGAATCCAGGGAGGCTCTTGACTCCCTGGAAGACACAGGAACAAGAACATCCAAATGTGAGTCCGCCTTGACCACATCCCCCAACAGACCGCCTGTGCCGTCCCTGCTCCTGGGACTGGACATTCTTCCACGGAAATTGCTACTTCTTCTCCAAGTCCCAACGGAACTGGCATGACTCCCTCACCGCCTGCCAGGAAGCGGGGGCTCAGCTCGTCATCGTGGAGAGCGCTGAGGAGCAGGTTTCGTGTGGTTTGGCAGGGGGTCTTAGTCTGGGGTGCCCGCCTGGATGCTGGCCAGCTCTGGGGGAGAAGATTGGTCAGATCAGGGTTTTCTGGACCAGGGCTTGCTCGGTGCGCTTGGAAAGGGAGGAGGAGAAGGGGGTGGATGAGAGGATCCCACACATCTTTCAAGGATTCACACACAAGTTCCCAATGTGGGTGCAGGGTTTGTGGAACGATGGAAATGTAAAGATACCTGCTGGCGTGTGGGCCGGGGCTTAAGAACTTACTCTTCAGTAGCAAAAATTCCCTGGGAGTCTTGTTTGCCAATACCCCCAGCATAAATATAATTGGGGCTTATTTGAAACCATCGGTGGAATGTCATTACGTGTAGACCTGAAAAGAGGTGATGTGCATGGCCAGCAGTTATGAACAGCCGGGATCTTTCCACAGTGCACTAACCTGGTTCTTGAAAGTCCCACAGGGACATAGACGGATGGGCTTGTAGTATTACCAAGTGTCTGATGCAGACCGGTTATGGGCAGTCTGTGAGCACGTGACAAAACATCTTCCCATAGTATAAAGAGGTGGGAGGCTCTGACCTCCTGCACATGCAGGATAGCTCATGGCTTGATACTGTAAAACCTGTAGGATAGACGTCAAGGGGAACTCCCTGCCGTGAAATTTGGATGGGTGTAAGCTAGAAAACAGGCCGCAGAGCTCCCTCCTGACTCCTGCTGTCCCCCTCCAGAGCTTCCTGCAGCAGACCTCGAAGAGTAAAGGCTCCACCTGGATGGGTCTCTCGGACCTGAACAAGGAAGGCACCTGGCACTGGGTGGACGGCTCGCCTCTGTCAAGCAGGTAGGGTCAGGGAGAAGAGAACACCTGTGGAGTGGGGTGGGGTTCTGAAGCTCTGGCTTCAACGCACTGGAGGTTCCTCCTCACTCCGTGCCCCACTTAGGCTTAAGAATCTGGGATGTTTCCGGCGCTGGGTGGATTATTACACGCATGCACCCCATGACAGGGCAGATCATCACACCGAAGTGGTTTACATGGGGAAGGCTGAGGCAGGAGACAGGGACTGAGGAATGTTTGGTAAGATCGTTTGGCCAGGTGAGGCAGAGGAAGCATACTCAGGATTGGCTTCTTTGTAGTGCTTGTGAGTTCGGGGGGGCGGTGTCGTTCCTAGTCATATGGTTGCTGGCTCTGGACAGGCACAGATGGGTCCAGGCTGCAAAAGACCAGTAAGGAAAGTGGTTGAGGATGTGGGTGCCAAATGGGTTGAGGTGGACCTGAAAACCACACCCTCCAAGTCAGGGCTCCCCTGTGGGTCAGGGTCACTATGAGGCCAGGTGACTAGGGCGTGAGCACGGGGTCCAGAGCACAGCAAGCCTTCCGTGTACACGGCGGACGGATGGGAAAGCATCAGGGGGTCCAGCGCTAGAAATACGATTCACACAGCGGGGCCGGGCAGAGGCTCACATTTGGATGGACTTCACAGCCTGGGAAGCTACTGGAACAAAGGAGAGCCCAACAACATCGGGGAAGAGGACTGTGTGGAATTCAAGGATGAGGGCTGGAACGACGGCAGATGTGGTAACAGCAATTTCTGGATCTGCAAGAAGACGGCGCTGTCCTGCTCCAACAGCTGATGTCCAGAATCTCTGCCCAAGCACCCCTGCCAGGCGGCCGAGCTTGCAGCTGGTTATCCCAGCTCCTTCTCCTTGTCTGCTGGACTCGAGATCTTAGCCATAGCTCTGTGAATCTCCTCTGTCGCGCTCCCTGTACTCTATGGGCTGGATCATCACCTCCCTTCCTCCTGTGCCGCGGGATCCCTCTGGCCTGGTGGCTGTGGTTCCGGCCGTGGAGATGGTGCGGGACACATTGAGGAGAGCGGGGGGGGGGTGTTCCCCAGTCTTCTCTGCCTCGGTGATACCAGAGGGTGCGCACCGCCGTGCGTAGCTGCTGGCGTGTCCTCTGTGGCTTTATTCCGTCCCTGCCTGCTTCCCTTCAGTCTGCCCCGCTTCCACGCGCCTGCCCTGCTCTCCTCAGCCTGGGGATGCTCCTCTAGCTCATGCTGCAGGCTGGGTGATCGTCGAATGAATCCCTCAGTTCACCAGTGATGGTTTGGATTGCTCCCTCCTCCCTCTGTGGTTCTGCGGTGGACTTTGCAGTGGGTCTCCCAGGTCCCACTTCCGTGAAGGACATATTACCCCAGCTGAGAGGAGTCCTGTGGGAGGTGGCTACCACACAGCAGCCCGTTCCCACCTAGACTCTGCCCCGGGTGCCTGCTTCTCCTCCAGTGTTGGACTCCATCCTGTTACACCGCACGTTTGCACAGGGCATTGAAGATCTAGCCGTACTGGGCAAACATGGGGCATCTATGAAGGATCCCTCAGACTCCAGAGCTCCCTGTGGGGCCAGCTGTTGCTGCTGTCAGACCTCCTCTTTTGCGTTTATATTTCTGCCCTTTCCTGCTTTCTTCTTGCGGAGGAAATTAAAAACGCATTAGTCTACATTCCCGAGTGATATGGGTATCTTTGGTTATTCAGCATCATGCCTATTGATGACACACGGATTTCTGCTAATGTGATGACTCAGGTCACCAGATGGACAAAAAAAAAAATTAGCTAGGGCAATGACATTTTCCATCCCAACCTCCTATCTCCAGGTAGGAGTGTGAAGATTCTCCTCTCTGAGATCTCTGAACAAGGAGATTTGCTGATGCCCGTGATAGTAAAACACGCAGTGGTGCTGGAGATCAGAGTCGCTGGAGATGCGTGGGGACCACACATCTGCACGCTTTCCTTGTCCCAAGCATCTCTTCCACTTAGCACCTTCTGAGTTGTCTCCTTGAGAAGATGTCACTGGCAAATCGCCAAGCCATAAAGGAGGTTTAAAGCCAGTCTTTGGATGGCTTGACAGAAGCTTGGTTAGTCGGGGGCACCTTGTGTGGGCACCAGAAGTAGGGTGGGACTGAGCTGTGCGAGTCCAGTCAGAATTAGAAGACTGCTTGCTGGAAAACAATCCACTGAGCTTCCCGTTCCTTCCACCCTGTGACCCCACAGATACTCCTTCCTGAACAAGTTGAATGTTAAATCCCATCTCTCTGAGAGCCAGTCTTCCACAAGGTTAGGATTTTCTCTATTGTTTTCCTCTTTTCTGTTTCATTTCTTTCTGCTTGTACCTTTGGGTTTTTTCCCTCTTCGTTAAGCTTTCAGTTGATGTGACTCCCGCTTTTATTAGTTTCTTGGGATTGTGGACCTCAGATCTGTCCTCCATCACAAGACAAAATACAGTCGATCTCAACTGGTGTTATGGTCAGTTGTAGATCAAGGGCAACATTGCATTGCATGAAGTAGCATCAAGTTTCTAATCCTCGGAGCAGCAGAAGTTATTTGTGCTTGTAAGAACTGCTGAAGAAAGCAGAAACAAAGGGCATAGAACAGACCAGTCATTTCCAGTTACTTTCCTTGCACATCAGGTCAGAGATCCAGAACAACAGAGGGGTGACTAATTTGTGCAAGGTTACTTCAGGGTTTCTATTAAAATTAGCCAGCTTGGAAAAATCAACTGTTAACCCTCTGCGGATGATTTCCAAGAGTCAGAAAAACAGAGAATTAGAATAAATGAGTCCGTGTTTGTTTGTTTTGTTTTTTGTTTTCTTTGGGCTGTGTGTGTGTGTGTGTGTGTGTGTGTGTGTGTGTGTGTGTTGGGGGAGTTAATTGAAGCTTTTGACTTTGGGTAGCCCCAAAATGCATGTACTTAATTCACTTCCTAGGGGAGCACCCTCCTACTCCCTGAGATTCCTGGCAATCACCAAGGTTGAGATTGCTATCGTGCACCAAAGGGCCAATGTGCTGTAAGAACTGAAACGGGGCCTCAGTATGATCTGCTTCCTCAACATCTGGAGCAAACCCTCCTCTCTCAGCCCCTGTATGCAAGGTCCCCTGGCCAAACAACTGTCCGTGTGGAGGGGACCCAGCTAAGAGTGGGAATAGATTCACTGCCAGGCATGGATTATTCAATCCAGCTAATCATGCTGTTCTGCAGAACCTCGCTAAGGGTCCCACAGCCTTGTTGCTATGAAGTTGGCTTCTCCCACCAGCAGTGCTCACTCTGTTCCAAGTACAGCCTTTGTGTGGCCCGGTGTGGTGGACAGTGACTTCCCCTGGGTTGTGATGCGCTGGATGGGACTCAGGAAGGGGAAAAAAAGGCATTAAGAGAAAATACTGAAATCCGGTGTGAGTGGCTTACTGTGTGGGTTTGACATAAGTAAGAAACCAACCCTGGTGCGTTGCTCTTTGCCATCCCACCTCAATTCGTAGGTCAACAGAAAGAACCCGGGCGAGAGGAACACTGGAGATTCTGTATTTGCAAAATTGCCAAAAACTATTCTATGGTAGAATATTTATACTAAAAATAATCGATGAGAAACACACACGTCGTCGTAGCACGTGCATATATTTTTCAGCTTCTCACTTGCAGTGTAGCACACGCTCCTTAAAAAGCACAGTTCTTTACAACACGCCTTAAGATGCTGGCTGTGTAAAGGCACCCACATAGCCACATCGCAGATGAAACTCCGAGCACTGTGTAGGTTTCCTTGCTTCTCCTACTGGTCAACCTCCCAGTCAAGGTTTATTGTGCCTACTCTCAAAACAAGGGCGAAACGGAACCAGACCCTAGAGTGTGTATGCTGTACGCCCCCGAATGCGCCCGCTCCTCTGGGGTACCCAGGCCTGTTTTTCTACATATCAGCAGTTTCCTTTTCCTTGCTTTATAGTCTGTCAATCACCTGCTGTTTTCTTCCCATTACACCTGTTGATGGCCACTTGGTCTCCTCTCCTAGCGGATGCCTCTGAATAGAGCTGCAAGGAATGTTTTGTTTCCTCCTTGAGACTGTGTGTGTCTCTCTGTGTCTCACCTCACAAGGTGCACCCAGTGAAGACAGACTGGGACCAATTTCCAGCTCTGCTGTTTACCAGCAGTGTGACCTTGGGCCAGTTACCTGATCTCTTTGTGGTTCAAGTCGACTTATCTGTAAAATAGATTTCCAAAGGCTGGGAAGATGAAATGATCATATATATATATAGCTGTTGGCAAAGTGCCTGACTGCAGCAAGTGTTTAATAAATATCAGGAATGGTGATTCATCTCCATGGCCGTAATTCAGCAGAAATTGCCATAAGTGTGGATACTGCAAACTAAGGAGCAAGGCCTGGTGTCAGAACAACTGTGTTTCTCAGAAGACCGGGGACATTGCCTGTCCTCCCTTTCCCTAGGTGCTGAAGGAATACAAGGGAGCTTTACTTCACAGTTACTTGTTTTGTTAAATGCACCCCACAACTTGGCCACGCCAGGACTGCACCTTGTTCTTTCTGCTACAGAAGTGAGACCACTCACAACCCTCTTCCCCCCAGATTCCTGGAATATGAGACGCTCGGCTCTTCCCTCTCACCTCTTCCGGGATGCTCAATTCCCTGTTCCTCTTCTTGCATGACTGTAAGTTCAAGAGAAAGAAAAATGGTGGGGTGGGACATAAAAGCTCTGGTTCCCAGAAACCTGGAGCACTGAGGGTCAGTGGTGAGCATGAGAGACACAAAGGAGGCCACACAGCAGCTGGGTCCACTGGGTGAGGCTGGGCTGGGGTTGTGGGAGCTCGGGGTTGGGGGGTACAGGGGAACAGCTGGGGTCTCTGCCTGCCCAGGGCCTGACTGATGCTCCGCTCATTCAGATGAGGAAGGGCTGATAACCACTGGCACCGGACATTCTCTAAAAAGCTTTGGATACCGACCGATGTCTGCATTCAATTGCTTTGCAGGTAGCGTGGGAGGGTGGTGGGAGGCGAAGAGCTCCTCACAGATAGCTGGACGCCGGGGACGTAAATGCTGCCCTTGTGGATTTCCGGGCCCTGAGGATATAGAAGTTGAGATTCTGGACTCCTGTGTCCTGGGGAAGTGGAGGAGGAACCTGGTGGCAATGCTGTCCCTGGACGAGCTGAGGCAAGGACACTATTTGCCTGAGCCCTGTGATCCCTCTCTCCTGCAGGGTGGCAGGACAATCTCGTCTCCCCGGTCCTCCAGCTGCTCTCCTTCGTGCTCTTGGCTGGGCTCCTGGTGGCCATCCTTGCCCACGGTCAGGATGAGATTGAGGGATGGGGCTCCTTCAGTAGGCTGGAGCAGGGATGGGGTCCATCTCAGAGCCCCTCCCGCATCCGGGGCAGGAGCGGGGAGGAGGGGAAATGGACTGCTAGACCACTTGCCCTTGTCTTTTCACCTCCTCCGAGGGTCGGGTTTCCTCCTGCTCGAGCGAGGTTAAACAAGACTTTGGCTCTCAGATGTGACACCCATGCGAGGACAGTGAAGACCATGGAGTGAGGGGTGAATGGGTGCAATTTTTCCTCTTGGCACAGCCTCCAAGGTCCCCAGCAGGGAGGAGCTGAAGAAGGAGCGGTCAAATCAGGAGAAAATCTATCAGGAACTCAATCAGCTCAAGACTGGATTTGGTGAGTGACGGAAAACCAAGACCCGGGGACCTGACAGGGTGTTCCTTGCGTCACAACACCTCTCTGAGCCTCAATTTCCTCGTGTGTGAACTAGGAACATAAGGTAAACGCCAGGATGGCACTTGGTGTTCACAAGGGGATGTGCCCAAAGTGGGCACTCGAGCAAGCCAGCTTCCTGGTTTCTCCCAGTTGAGAAAAAAAGCCAAGATGCTTGGGTTCTCTTGAGGCTGGAAAGGGGCTCAGGTAGTGGAGAGCAGCGTGGTTTCCCCAGGTTGCAGGGTAAAGGAGGCCCTGACCCTCCAGGACTTAAGAGCTAGGCAGACATAGGAGCGGGACACCAAACATGGCCCAGCCTGACCCGTCTCACCCAACAGACCGTCTGTGTCGTCCCTGCCCCTGGGACTGGACATTCTTCCAAGCCAAGTGCTACTTCTTCTCCAAGTCCCAACGGGACTGGCATGAATCCATCACCGCCTGCCAGGAAGAGGGGGCTCAGCTCGTCACCGTGGAGAGTGCTGAGGAACAGGTGAGTGTGGTCTGTGCAGGGGTCCTAGTCTGGGGCACGCACCTGGCCTCTGGGCAGTCGTGGGGGTGATGCTTGGTCAGATCGGGGTTTTCTGGACCAGGGACTTCTTGGCGCACTTGGAAAGGGAGGAGAAAAATGTCATGAGAAGGTCTCATGCCCCTCGAAGGAGATACACTCAAGTTCTGAACATGAGTCCATGCTTGGGAAACAATCAAAGTATGTGCCAGTGTCATGGCCAGAGGTGGGTCCTCCATGAGCCAATTTCTCCAGTGCAAATATTACCATCGTGGCTTCTTTTAACCCTTCAGCGGGACGTCTTTCCACACAGAGCCGAGAAGGGGTGAGGAGGACGGTAGCGTGTTTGTATGCACGCATTAAACCTGGCCATGAGTAATCTCGCGTGGACATGCTTAGAGCTTGTCACAAAGGTAAATGTGCAGTAATCGCCAAGCGTGTGTGAGAAGAAGCCATCTGTGTACAGGGCTCAGCTGTACAAAGCATACAGGTATGGGAGGACTCCAAGCTCTCGAGCATAACTTGCAGTCCTTGGCCCAGGAGAACAGAAGGCTGTAGATTAGACTGTGAGTAGAACTTTCTGCTAAGAGATTAAGGAGATGCTAGCCAGGAAATTGGAAACGAGGCTCTTTCCTGTCTCCTCTCCTCCTCCAGAGCTTCCTGCAGCAGACTTCTAAGAGTAAAGGCAGCGCCTGGATGGGACTCTCAGACCTGAACAAGGAATCCGAGTGGCGCTGGGTGGACGGCTCGCCTCTGTCGCTCAGGTACATCCGAGGAGGAGGCGGCATCCTAGAGGGAAGGGGGGGTTCTCAAACTCTGGCTTCAGCTATCCTTGGAGCTCTATCCCCTTGGCATACTTACTGAGATAGAGGAGATGATCTGCATACCCACACGGAGATAAGATGGCAAGTGTCTAAAATTCCACCATGAGAAACGCAGAAACCGTTTGCATCTTGAGATTGAGGTGGAAGACACAGTGTATGACTAGAAAATCTGGTTATAATAAAGCCCACAGGTCAAGAGACCTCCAACGCCTTTTAAAAGGTGAAGGGAGGACAGGGACAAGGGGAAAAAATGAGAACCAAGACCTGTCATGTAAAGGTACAAGATCCCAACAATGAATGTAACTGTACTGTATCCCTAAAATGTACCAATAAAATCAATTATTTAATTTTTTAAAAAAAGGTAGCTTGTTGTAGTCCTAGATTCCAAGGGGGGGTGCCTATATCACCCCACAGGCATCAATGTAGGTGGAACCAGGGCTGGCGAAGAGATAGAGGGCAGGCGAGCTGTGAGCCCACCGAGTGTGGTAGTTGGAGGTGCGGGATCCAGATAGGCTGGTTTGTACCTGAAAATCACAACCTCGGGAAGAGGATTCTGCCCTAAGCAAGGGTCCGAGCCCAAGTTCAAGAGGTTCGGGCGTGTTGCCAGGGGCCCAGACCACGCAGTCAAGGGTCCAGGAGCTAGAGACAGGGTCCGCTGTGCGTCAGGGCAGAGACTTACGTTCTCGCGGACTTTGCAGCCTCACGCAGTTCTGGAACAAAGGGCAGCCCAACAACTACAAGGGCCAAGACTGTGTGGAATTTCGAGATGACGGCTGGAACGATGCCAAGTGCGATCTCAAGAGATTCTGGATATGCAAAAAGCCTGCCGCTTCTTGTTCCAGCGAGTGACGACCAGGTCCCTTCTGCAGGGGGAACAGAGCCGCCCAAGCAGCTTGCCTGCCGGGTGGAAGAGCTGAACCACGCCTATTCCAGTCCCTTCTCTCCCTCTGGACATGGAGGCGCCGAGACCCTTCTCTGTCCGGGACTCTCATTCCCAGCAAGGCCGGGCCACTGCAGTCCTCTCTGGTGTCCCCAGGCTCCCCGCTCCCACCCCCCCACCCCGGGTTAGGGACTGTGGCTGTGATTCATCTGTGTAGTTCCATACCGTGCCTGGGTGTGAGGTCCGTCCAGGAGCTGGGTGTGTTTTGTTAGTCTGCTTTGCTTTCTCAACGACATCACAGGGTTGGCGTCGCCAAGTGTAACTGCTGCTAAATCCCCTGGGGCTTTCTCCCGCCCCTGCTCACTCGTCTTCCATCTCCCCTGAGAACTTTCTTTCCCTGGTTGCTGTGGCTCGTCCTGCCGGCTGAACATACTGGGGAACTGATTCCCCTGGTCAGTTGGCGCTGTGTATTGATACACAGCTACCCCAAGCTCCTTGCCTTCTCGGTGGTGCCGTGGGGGTCCCGAGATGGGCTCCCAGAACTCTCCGCAGGGAGACACGTTTCTCCAGCTGCTACAATGCTGGGGAAAGCAGCTGTGAGCCCTTCCTGCCTAGACTCTTCTGCAGGGAGCTGCCCCAGCGGAGGTAAGACTCCTTCCCGGTGCTACTCGAGGGCAGGATGCTAAAGACTGGGCCATGTTGGGCCAGAATAGGACAACTCGGAAGGGTCATTCAGCTCTTGCTGCTGTCAGATCTCCTCTGCTGGACGCGCCCCCCCCCAACTCCCGCTGGTTGTTCCTATTCCCTTATTTGGGAAAATAAAAACATATATTTGATCTTTGTCTGGATTCTTGAATGCCGTGCATGCTTGGTTATCATCAGCCGTATGTGCCAGATTTGAATGGGTGACCGCGAGGGGCCCGGGAGTGGGCGTCCTTAGGTTGCCAGAGGAACCAGAGACCTGGTAAAAGGAACTGCAGTGCTCCGCCTCGCCCACCTGTCTTTCGGGGCAGGGTCTGTTAGTCAGCTCTCTATCACTGCGAGAAAAGAACACCTGAGAGCAACAGCTTACAGGAGGAAAGGTGCATTTGGGCTCAGTGTTTCCCCGCGGCCAGCCGGTTCCGCGGTGAAACAGGAACATTAGGAGAACGTGGCACAAGCTCTCGTCTTCCCAGCCGCGGCCCCGTCTCCTAACTTCCCACCAGCTCCCAGTAACGCCACCAAATTATGCACGCATCAGTGGGTGAACCACCCGACTCGGTGAGCGCCCTCACGACTCCATCGATCGCCTTCCAAAGCCCATCAGGGGGCAACCAAGCCTTCCGGGACATTCCGGGTCCCAGCCACCGCGGAGTTGGAGACGGACCGCTCTAAAAACCCTGCAGGAGGAGATTTGCTGAGTTCCCAGGATCGCAAAACATGGCGGTGCGGAGGGGCTGCGCCATGGGGAGGTGGATGGAAACCACCCGTTGAGCCCTCACTCTTCCATCCCGCTCTTTCCGTAGTGAAACACCGGGTGTAAGCCGCGCGTTCTCTGCATGTCTGTGAGTCAGCTGGCAGACTGCAACACTTCGGCGGGGGTGTGGGAAACCCCCAGTTGCGGCTGGCCTGGCACGGGCATGGTTCGCCTGGGCACGTGTGTGTGCGTGTGTGTGTGTGTGGCTAATAACGGAAGCGGGCAGGTGTAGAACTGAGGCCTTAACTAGTGGAATCTGATGGTAACTCTGGGAGCTAGCCTCACAACTGGAGGGTTGGTTGGTGGAAGCCAAGCCCCCAGCTCCCTCTCCCTTTCACCCTTGTGTTGTGGTTTGGGTGTTGATGCCCCGTCAAAGTCTCCTGTGGTCATGGGTGGCACTTTTTCATAGGCAGCTGAAGCTAGAGTGTGTGTTGCTGGGATTAAGGGTGTGTGACTACTAAATCCGTCCAATGATTTTGGCACCACCCTAAACCCAGCAGCCTAAACAGAATATAAAAGGGGCAGAAAGAAGCTGGTAAGGTCCCTTGCTTGCTTGCTTTTGCTGCCTTCTGCTTGCAATGTACTTGTTCCCTCTGGAGCCAGCTGACCGTGGGTTGAAACCTCTCCAAACTGAGAGCTAAATAAACTTTTCCTTCCTTAATGTGTATTAGCTTCTTGGGGTTACTGATGTGACATCTGTCTTCTGTCAAAGGACAAAATTACAGTGTAGTTCATCTCACTTGCTTTGATAGTCGCTACACCAAGGAGAATAAAGTATCTAGTCCTCAGAGGAGCTCATCATAGAGGTAGAAATTACCGAGGAGAGCAAAAACAAAAGATGAAGCAACAACAAAAAAATAGATTGGTCATTTCCAAGTTACTTTTCTTGTACTTCAGGGGCAAGGAGACAGAACGATAAGGAACAAGAAACCAGTTTACTTCAGGTTTCCTATGAAATCAAGCCTGTTTAGGACAAATGGCTGTTATCGCTCTAATTCTGATTGCTAAGTGAAAAGAGTGGCTTACTTTCAGCTAGGTGCCTAGCACTTTGACCTAAGCACCTCCCTTTTTTTTTTGTTTTTGCTTGGTCCACTTGGGCCTCGTGTAAGAGCCTTGTTTAAAAAAAAAAAAATGACCTCTGATTATTGAGTTGAT